ACATCCTCAAAAATGACTTAATTCTCAACTTTACTCAAAGCTGAGGTCCTACTGCCTGAATGACGGTGTCAAGTGTAGCTTATCTCCCAGAAATCTTGGGTGTAGGTATATGTATGTACAACATACCAGTATTGCATTGAGATTTATTAGGTATTTAAATTTATCATAAGTCTTGAAAAAGCTTACAGAAAATGCATCTGATGAAGACACTATGCGTGGATTTCAAAAAGCTTTCCATCAAAATCATTGCCATTTCCTCTGAGCTTTTTGACGAACCTTCAAATAATGAGTGTAATGTTTCAAATATCAGGACAATGGGGGCAGGCATTGTGACAGTGTGATGAAGCTGCACCTTGCAACACCACATCCGTTATCAGAATGCCAAGTTGAGTCTCAGATGCTCAGCTTCTGATCCAGCTTGCTGCTTGTCCAATTTGAGAGGCAGCAGATAAGGGCTGGGGCTGGTGCAACCCACGTGGGCATCCTGGATGGAACCCTAGGCTCCTGGTCTGAACCTGGCCCAGCCTTGGCTACAATGGCGTTTGGACAGAGGGTGGATGGAAAGTCTTTCTCTTTGCCTCCCTCCCTGTGTATGCATGTGTGAGTGATTGCCTTTCAGTTGGAAGAAGAAAATAGAGATTGAACATAATTACACCTCATCTTCTAAACATAAAATGAAAATAAAATCCAATCTTGTTCCTTCTCAATGTACGATAAAAATGAGTTTGCCACAAAATATAGCAGATTCTGGTATCTACGATTGCTGTTACTGCTTTTCAGCATTACGTATTTCTTAAATTGAAATAAAATGATGGATTTAAAACAAAGGGTTTATGTGACAGTTTTTGAGAGGCAGAGAAAAGGCTCCCCTTGATTCCTTCCACAAATACCATAATGCCCAGCACTGGGCCAGAATTGGAGCCAAGAGCTGGCAACACAGTCCAGGTCCCCCAAGCGAATGTCCAGGAACCCAGGGATTGGCATCTTCATCACAGCTTACCAGAGTCTGCATTGATGGGACGCTAAAGTCAAGAGCATGAACCAGGAACTGACCGCAGGCCTCTGATGGAGGCAAGCATCTTAATCACCGGGCCAGATACACATCCTTGAAATGGTTCCGAATGGTTTTATGATCTTTAGATGATGGTTGGCGTTTGAATGAATGCAAGAAGATGGAACAAATGAATGGATGAAAACATGGGCAGTAGATAGAGCTCCAAGTCTGTGGGGTGGGCTTCTGGTTGACTGCCAGCCCTGTGAAATAGGTCCACCATTGGTTGGGCTCTGGTTTGGTCTCTGAGCAAACTGTGCAAGATTTGGAGAGGTATTTGCTGGGATTTCACTGAAACACGGAAGCAATCAAGTAGTTGGAATTCTGTATTTTTCAAATTGAATGGCATTCCTTTATCCATATTGATTTGAGCTTTGGTAAATTCAATTGTTGATACCACCTGGATAATTTTAAGTCTTTCTGAAGCTTTAAAAAAAAAATGTTTCCAGCATAGCTCAGGCAACATAAGAATTTCATCAATTGAAAGCTAAGAATCATTTCTGTGGGATGTGTAAAACAAGAAGCTGACCAGCATTATTTTCTTTTTCTTTAATTCAGTATCATTATTGAGAGTTATTCTTGAACTTTATGAAAACCAGATTGGGGCATGAGCATGTTCTCCGTCGCATCATGTTCCTGGAATTGGATCTGAAAATCATTCAAACTAGGAAACCATGACATTGAAAAATAGTCTGCATTCTTAAGTCAGAGTATCTGAGACTGCGTCTAAGAGTGCTTAGGCTGAGAGGAGATTTGGAGGTTGGTTTATTTTTGTTTTTAGAAATGAACATTTAGCTTATAGTTGGGAAAAGATTGCAGTTTTATTTTCTGCTAGAATTGTTTTTGCTGGTGTGTCAGTTACAGTGTTGAATCTTAGTTTTCTCAGAAATCTGTGATTTCTCATTGCCACACCCTCTCCCCCAAAAGATCCAAACAGTGTCAGTCAAAGACGTCTCTTACTTAGCCCAAGGGCACAGGACTTTGGGCCGTGGGGAGAAACAACCAGCATTTCTGAGACATGGCATAAGGAGAGCTGTTTCACCATGAGAACATTTTTTAGTTTGTAATTTTATTTTAATTTTTTGATTTTATGGTACAATTACATAAGGTCTACCATTTCCCTACCCCCTCCCAAATTCTCCACCCCATATTATTACAATAGTATAGTCCTTCATGAGAATGACATGTCCATCAGTCTGTTATTTGCATCCTGAGATTGCTGGCACAGACAATGGCAGATAATCCAACCTCCTATTGTCAAAATATATCTAACAGTTTCACTGGCAGTCCATTATTGATTTGGAAGTAGAGATGCATACTGCATTGTATCTTCACATCTGGATATAATAGTCTCCATTAGACCGTCAGCAATATTCTCTCCCAAAAGAGAAGCCATGAAACAATTTCAGCAACAGGAATGAAGTTAAAAGAAAAAAAATTCATAGCACTATGGAGTTAAACAACATGCTACTGAATCACCATAGTATTGATGAAAAAATGAAAAAGAAAACACAGAAGCTCCTTTGGTAAAATGATGCTGCTGTTCACACAGTTCACTACATGTCAGTGAAGAATTGGATGAGAAGAGAAACCATTTGGAAGAAATGAAAATAAAGACATCCAAAGCATGGATTGCAGTGAAACAGTATGGAAAAGGTTATTGATCTTAAAATTTGTGTGAAGGCTGCCTTATATCAGAGAGAACATATGGTATTTGTCCTTTGGGAATTGACTTATTTCACTGAGCATAATGGTCTCCAGTTAGGACCAGCTTGTTACGAATGGTATAATTTCATTCTTTTTAATGGCTGAGTAGTATTCCTTGGAGTAGATGTACCACAGGTTCTTTAACCACTCTTCTTTGGATGGGTATCTGGGTTGTTTCCATGTCTTTGCTATTGTAGATTGTGCTGCTGTAAATATAGGATCACAGATCCCCTTCTCATATGCAGTTGTCACTTCCTTTGGGTATATTGCTAGGAGCAGGATAGCTGAATCATATGGCAGGTTCACTTGGTGTTCTCTAAGCATATTCCATACTGATTCCATAGAGGTTGTACTAGCCTACACTCCCACCAGCAGTGAAGGAGGGTACCTTTCTCCCCACATCCACACCAGCAGGTGTTTTAATAGGGTTCTGAATGTAGGCCATCCTCACTGGTGTTAGGTGGAACCTCAGCGTAGTTTTCATTTTTATCTCCCTGACAGCTAGAGAGCCTGAGCATCTTTTTATATGTCTGTTAGCCATTTGCATTTGTTCTTTTGAAAAATGTCTATTCATTTTCTTTCCCTGTATCTTCACAGGGTTGTTATTTTGGAGAGTGTGTTTATTTTACTGTTTTCTGGGTCTCTGAAGCTGTACAGAAGCTTTTTAGTTTGATGTAGTCCCATTTGTTTATTTTGGTTTTGTCTGCCTATGCTTTTGGAATCTTTCCCACGAAGTCTTTCCATATTCCCATATCTTGGAGAGTGCTTCTTGGTTTGATGGTTTTGGGGTGTAGATTTAGGTCCTTGATCCATTTAGAGCTGATTTTTGTATAATGTGACAGGTGCAGGTCTTGCTTCTTACCTCTGCAGGCTGCTATCCAATTGTCCCAATAACATTTGTTGAAAAGACCAGGAGAATTGTCGCCTTTGGTGGACAAGTCTTTCCAACCTTCCCACCATTTCCACCCTCTTCTACATAAAACAGTTTTCCCCCATCTGTTTCCCCCAACCTCCACAGAGACCCACGCATGCTCCCATGGCTGAGCCACCACACACATCCATCAATGATGCTGTTTGGTGTGCCCCGTGTGAGGATGTCAGGCTGAAAAGACAAGTGGGTGACAAACTCACCTCGCTGCCTGCCTGCTAAAGTGATTCCGTGCCTATAGGGCAATATCTCTACAAAGGGAGCACCTGTCTCCTATTTCATGCAAAGGCACTGGATAGTCTGGCAGCAGCTCAGTTCATCTGTGTTTTGTAATTCCTTTTATCAAGGCGCAAGTGCATTGCAGACAAAGTCTACCTTTTGATTCCCATTGTTCCTGGCACAATGCTCTTCTGACACAAAATAATTTCTCAAAGACTGGTCAATGAACACAGTTGCAGGATTAAAATGTATGTACTAAAACCATGAGTACAGCCTATAAATACATGTATACACAGACTACTGTGGGACTCATGAGATTGGACAGTTCTGAATGGGTCATTTGTCTGATGCTGAGTACATCATGGTTGTATCCCAAATAAGTCATTTCCTATAAAATGTGGTGCCAAGAAACCACATTTGTGAAGCTATGACAGTCCCAGGCAATGCAGACCAGAGTCCACTGCCAGCTATCCGTTAAAATAGCCAAAGAACAACACGAAGAACTGTGTGAAGTGGTCAGGATCAAGGGCAGGGAGAATGACTGTGGGAGGTGTGGGAATTTAGGGAGAAGCCGGTTAGATCACTCAAGGTCAGCTCGCTTCCTAGAAGTCTGCAGTAATCCAAAAACCAAAATATATTTTTTTAAAAAAAGTACCTCTTCTTAAAGACCCTGGGGTTTGAATTCCTCTGCCTTTCTCAACACTACACATAGTGTAACTTGATGTGACCATACCCTTAGAGTGGAGAATTGCTTTGTGAGGCTGTGAGTGGGGCGTTAATATTAGTTCTCTTGCTGTTTCATTCAATTGATGGGAAATGTCCATCAAGCAAGCTTTACAGACCACAAAACAACGATGTACTTAAGATAGGTTTTATGCTTATTTGACAACAGGGCCAGAACTTGAAATTTCAGGTTCCAAGGAGGAACCACTGGCCAACCTTGGAATAGAAATTCCCTCCTAACGACACACTTCCCATGCCAAGCTTTCAGCTGCTTTGTTGGCCAACATGTGATGAACTCTTTTTCAGGCACAAGCAAGGGTCACTGTCCTTTCTACCACAGTTGACAGTGCTTCTCGCTCCATTTTCCCACAGTCTTCTGTGATGTCGGTGTGTTTTGCCCGTTTTCATCCAAACCTGGTGGTTGGTGGGACGTACTCCGGCCAGATTGTCCTCTGGGACAATCGCAGTCACCGAAGGACACCAGTGCAACGGACGCCCTTGTCAGCAGCTGCACACACAGTAAGTCAAACGTTTGTCATATCTCTGCCAACCCTGCTCAAGACCCAAAAGACAAACACCACCGTTCACAAAAGTGTGGATAGTACCAGCAATTCTGGTTAAGAAGAATCTCGTACATAGTCATTAGATCTTAAAAAGATCTGGGGCCTGGCACAATGGTTCAGTGCCCAAATCTTCACGTTGCACCCACCAGTATTCCCATATGGGCACCGGTTCTTGTCCCAGCTGCCCTGCTTCCCATCCAACTCCCTGCTTGTGTCCTGGGAAAGCTGGAGGATGGCCCAAAGCTCTGGGACCCTGCACCCATGTGGGAGACCTGGAAGAAGCTCCTGGCTTCATTTGGGCTTATCTCCAGCCATTGCAGTCATTTGGGGAGTGAACCAAGAGATGAAAAATCTTTTTGTCTCTCCTCTCCATTAATCTGATTCTTTCCCAATAAAATTAAATAAATTTCTTTTAAAAAAAGCCTAGGAAAAAAGTAGATGAAGCAAACATTGGCTTCAGAGAAATCTGTTAATAATCTGCAGGCTCTAGTGAACAGAGTATAATAACTTTGGACATCCCAAGGACCAGGAGTCAAGAGGGTAAAAATTTACACAAAAAAGAAAGGAACTTTGCAAGACAGCTATGGAATTTTTTCCTAAAGAAGCCTTACACATTTGAATTACAAGGAAGAAGCAAGTATTTTTTTTTAAGATTTATTTTATTTTTATTGGAAAGGCGGATACACAGAGAGGAGAGACAGAGAGGAAAATCTTCCGTCCAATGATTCACTCCCCAAGTGAGCGCAACGGCCGATGCTATGCTAAGCCAGGAACCTCTTCTGGGTCTCCCACACCAGTGCAGGGTCCCAAAGCTTTGGGCCATCCTCTACTGTTTTCCCAGGCCACAAGCAGGGAGCTGGATGGGAAGTGGAGCTGCCGGGATTAGAACTGGTGCCCATATGGGATCCAGGGCGTGCAAGGCGAGGACCTTAACCACTGCGCCATCGTGCCGGGCCCTGAAGCAAGTATTTTTCAACTAGACCATGAAGAGTAAACAGTTCAGGTCTAGGGACAATAGCCACAGGCCTTTTCCATTGCTAATTTGAGGAGGCACTGTGGCTTTAAATTCTGGAATGCGTGGTATACATGTCAATGTAAGGTCTGCAGTGACAATATAATCCCAAGGGTTAAAAGTCAACATCTCAAAACCATTACCCATAATTTAGTAGAGAGCTTTAGTGTCGTGCTCCTAAGACAACTACTCTGTCATTTCCTTTAAGAGAATGACAGGTGTGTATAGCAATTGTTGGGAGGAATGAGAAGACAGGCATGTCTCCATCAATTCTTGTTACCTTGACATTCAGGATAACTGACTGGATTCTCTCCAATATCCAAATTATGCCCAATGATATAGCTCTGCTATTGTTCTCAAGTTTTTTAATGTGGTTGCCCCATCTGTCTCATGTGCTGGCCTTCCAGCCATTCTGTCTTGAAGAAGGATTGCTAGCTGCACTAGGGAAGACCACAAGGAGGAAAATTCTTCCAGTCTTTGAAGACTGACAGTGGGAAATGACAAACACTAAGACAACGTTGATTTCAATTCATTGGAGCCAAAGACACGTGCAGGTGAAAGTAGTTGTTGGGAATCTTAGGAAATGGCTCTTGCCTACCCTGTTTCTCAAAAGAAAAAAACTAGTAACAAAAAATTGGGGTCCAAGAGAAGGCAGGCTTTATGCACGTGTCTGGTCTACTAGTGTGACACCGTTTCTTGGCTCACTGGAAAGATGTGTCTTGGAAATGCATCTTGCACAATTTCAAAAATTGTCAGTCCAAATGTTAAAGGATTTAGCAAGAATGTCTTGCAGAGAATTTAAAACCAAGAGTTGTTCCAAAGAGTTGACTTGTGTGTGTGTGTGTGTGTTAGAATGATTGTCACACCTGAAACACTAACGTTATCAAACAGAATAACATTTCTGTAAGGAAGCAGAACAAAGCACACTTTTCTAGTTGTGTTTTGTCTCATCCAGAGCTCAAAGTGCCCTAATTCTGTGTTTGTCTTTCCACCTCCATTATTGCCTGGCTGATTGGAACCAGGATCAAAAAGGAAAAAGAGGCCCACCACAGATTACTGTTAATTTCCTTTCACACCCACCGCACATATGCATTTGGGACAACAGGAAATCATAATTAAAACAAAATCCTGCTGCCACACAGTAAGTTTATTCCTAAAGTAAATAAAAACAATCTGGCATCTATGCCAGGAAAATGAGCTATACCATTGCCTTGCTCCTTTCTATTAAGTAGCCTTGTGTGTGCACATAGTAGACATGCCCCAGGGTCTGCCTCTGTGCAGTTTCTTTTCTTTCAAACTGATGCGTGAATACTAAAGGCATATTGTTATATATTTTCTCATGTTGTTCCACATGAGTCAACACCAGACATGCATCTCCTGGTGGTCAGAATTTAAGTGGAGCATTTTGCTTCATTCTCCTACCTTCACTATTAGAACTCAGGCAGCATAACACGTAGTTTAAAAAAAAAAATGCTGACTGGGATGGTTGTGGAAGGTTCTGGAAACCAAATAGTCCGGGAAGAGTTGAAATAATTGATATCAGTTTGTCTAAGTAGGGCAAGATTTAGGAGCACAGAATATGGGAGACATAAAAGAATCTATGAATATTCAAATCACTATAGCATTTTGATCTGTAAGATTGTACAGCCCTGGAAGGATGTCGTTGAACTTTGTCCCCATTTGTGGAAGGAAAACCTTGCCAGGAATCAGTGCTAAAACTGGCTTCTCTTTCAACAGCCCTCTAAGTGGAGTTGGGACCACCGCGTGGTTGAGTACCTCCTCTGGATAATTATCACCACTCGTCCTGACCAGGAGTTTATATGATAATCATAGCTGGGGAAGCATCCTTTCTATAATGCCAACTTTCCAATATTAAACATTGTTTCATTGTAGTTGTGGCTAGGTATTATGGACAGTAACTCATCACCAGTAAGGCTTAGACCCTCTGCTATTTGCATGGAGCAAGTTGTGGTTTGGCCGCTGATGACCAAGCAGCCTGAAATCCAGCCCAAATTGTTGCTAGGCACTGCATTTGCTAACCTTCCATTTACTGCTGAGGGCCCAGCTGCAAATGATTTTAGCCCACCATTGAGTTAAGGCTCTACAGAGGAGGTTTAATCTTGTGCAGTTGTGACAGAAGATTAGAGAGTCTTCCATCATTCCCGAGATGCATAAATGGTCTTTCTCGGGGCCAGGGCCAAAGCTTAGCCTCCAAAATTAATTTATTTTGAAAAATAAATTAATGCGGCACTATGCTATATTTTACAGTAACATAAAGGAGGACAATTTTGAATAGATTGTTCCAACAATACACCATTCGTGCCTCTGTCTCAAAAGGTCCACTGTTTATAAAGACTTGTTTGACACATTATAGTCACAGGTCCGGATTCCAGATTTGGACACCTACACCTTCCGAAGTCAACAGTCTGGACATTTTGAGGACTGTCCCCTGTTACTGAAAGCCTATGCTGGCAGGGACTTAGGTATTGCAGCTTGGCCTCCTGGGCTGCGTCTGCCCCCTCCATCCTCCTGGGCACTCCTTGGTTCAGTGTCTTAGCATCGCGTCTCAATGAACAAGGTGAAACTCTGCAAGTATTCCCACTGCCCTGTGTTACTGCCAGAGCTTTCAGAAAGAAATCAGGTTCAAATCAAAAGTGGCAAATGGCTGGAGGCTTGTGTTCTGGTGGAGTTATGTCACTCTTTAATCCTTGCTGTGCAGTAATGTGTTTGTGACTCGAATGTAAGCACTTCCTCCTGGCTCTGTGGCTGATCCTGTGTGTTTACGTTTTCACAGCATCCTGTGTACTGTGTAAATGTTGTTGGGACCCAGAATGCTCATAACCTCATCACTGTCTCCACTGATGGGAAAATGTGTTCCTGGAGCCTGGACATGCTCTCCACGCCACAGGTGAGTTTGTTTTCCCCTACACCAAAGAGCATCCTGGCTAAAAGAGACACCGACTTAATGGAATATGGCTCCTGAAAACCAAACCCTCACATCCTATAGGAGATCAGCGCAATGGATGCATTTGAAAGAGAAGAGCCTGGTTTCAGCAGACTCCGAGTGAAGCCAAAACCCATTTCCTATACCACAAATCATGTAATTATCATAATACATTAATCCTCAGGTCAGTTTCATGTGAAAATGAAATAATCCATTTTAAATCACAGTCATTATACAAGTTTGCCTGTGGCGTAAATTGTGCTCACCAATTGTACAGCTAAACACAGGCAAATGAGGCTAGGACTCCTCAGGGCTATCCCACTTGGGGCTTGTCTGGGAAGATAGGTGTCCCAACAAAACAGAAACCCAAGCCCTCGCTTGTATTGCAGCCCAGACAATTGCCTGTGTGCATGGCAAATGTGTCAAACAATCTGGTTTTGCCTCTGGAATGGTCGGTAGTATGGCTCCTGCCCTTCCTTCTTCCACAAATGAGAAGCCGTAAATGAAGTAGTTCCAAACTTTACAAAGCACTACTGTTTGTTGTGATGTGAACTAGTTGAAGGAACAGAAGTGGGAAATCGTTGGAAGCAGAAATTTAGCTACATGGAACGTCCAGAATGTATGTATGCATATAGATGTGTGTGTGTGCATACAGACACAAACACACATCATGCAGAGTTTCTCGTAGAATGCATTTCACATTTCTTTGTGCATAACAAGAAGTACCTCCAACTAAATACCAATAAAAAAAAAAAAAATGGGTGGCTTGCATCCTGTACTCAAGTGCCTGGGGTCGATGTAACGCCTGACTCTGCCTTTCAGCTAATGTGTGCCCAGGAGGCAGCAGATGATGGTTCAAGTACATGAGTGCCTGCCACCCTCTTGGGAGACCCGGATAGATTTCTTGACTCGTGGCTTCAACCTGGCCCAGCTCTGGATGTTGCAGTCATCTGGGGAGTAAACCAGCATGTGGGAATTCTGTTCTCTCTCTGCCTTTCAAGCAAAAGATATTTTTTAAAATACCAAGACAAGTTCATTATTTTAACCTTTGTCAAAAACCTTCAAAGCTGCTGAGGAAAATGCAAAATAGATATCTACAAGATAATTCTGAATTTTAATATTCCTGTTCTCTTCCCAAGGATAATAGACCTAGAATTGCTCATACAATTTCAGAAGGCATTAAAATTTCAAAATATGTATGCAAACAAAGAAACTATATATAGGTCCCTCTGCTTGCTGATGTTGAACTTTATACAGTTCAGGCCCTGTGCATGCTATATGGCCTTTTCTTACAATTCTCATCAAAGTGTTGTTTTCCTTGAAAAGTGTGGAGAGTGTAAACACACAGGAACAAGGCCTCTATGTAGCACTTTCTAAGTGGGCCTCTTCTGATGATATGCATTCGTTTAGATGTAAGCCAGTCATGCAGGGATACTGAGATGGTTTTTATTAGTTTTAACAGCGCCCACCTCTCTGTAGAGATGGAGAATTTCATGGTATGGCTATTGAGGAGGTGGAGCAAAGAGCATCTGACGGGTACCCTGGTTGCTCTCCCCAAAGTGGGCAGCTGAGAAACATCACTGCCTTGCAACTGACGTTGGGGATACACAGCACCCCAAATGGGCACGTTTGCTGTAGCAGTTACAACGTTCTCCCAGCCCAGATGCTGATGGCCTGCCACGTGTGACTCTTTGCATTGTGGAGCACATCCCAGGACCTTGTGGTCTGCATTGCCCACACTATCCACATGAATTTTCTATTTAGGGCAGACAGTGCTAAAATGGTCTGGTTTGTTTATATAAGAAAAACTAGACTCCCAAGCTAGACTTCCAAGCAACTACAATGACATGATACCCCAGAAGGATTGTAAAAATGATTTCAGATGTAAATAGGCAGAAATACTCCTGTGTCCTTCATTACTGTGAAACAGAATTCAGTGGTAGGTTTTCCAAAACTCTTGAATATCCCATCTTAAAAATCCTTTTAGGGGCAAGTATCTGGTGCAGTGACTAAGATACTACTTTCAATATCACCTCCCATATTGGAGTACCAGGTTAGAGTCCTGGCTGCTTCCAATTCCAGCTCCTGCTAATGCGGACCCTGGAAGGCCGCTAATGGTGGCATTTCTGTCGCCCAAGTGGAAGACCTATTTTGAGTACCCAGTTCCCAGCTCTAACCTAGCCAAGTATGGGCAGCTGGGAAGTGAACACTGATTTGTCCCTTTCTCTCTCTGCCTTTCTAATGAAAGGGAAATAAATAGAATATACAAAGAAAACAAGATGAATAGAATAACTTATTTGTAAAAATTGTATATAAAGACTCTTGTGTATAATTTCCAAGACCTGTTGAGTCACCATGGCTTTGTGGCCTTCTAGCCTAGCCACTTAGTGGCTGCCCTTCAGGACATCTAGTCCCTATGAAATCCAGTCTTTACAACCTGCGTGACAGCTCTGGGTTTAGTCTGTGCAAGACACATAATCCTGCTTTGACAAATGTGCTTCGTCCATTCGATACGAGCACTTGTGCATTCTCAGGAACAATTGATTTTGAAAATGTTTGTAAATATAAGGGTATTGTGTGTTTTATTAAAGCCTAGGGCTGACAAGCGTAACCATTACAGTATTATCTTCAGTTTCTGCACCATTAATTTCAGAATTCTCACCTGTCATGTCTGCCTGACTTAAGAAGTGACAGCACACACTGATGAAATCCAGCCAACCTGAAACCAGAGATGGACAGCCACGTGAATGTCAGGGGCAGGAAAGCATGGTCTCTGGCACAGCTGGGAAAAGGCAAACAGATGATTGAGCCAAATGATTTTTCCATGCTGTCTTTGGCATAGCAAGGAGTTGAGAGATGGAAATATAACCACACTGTGTTTTGGTAGGAGAGCATGGAGCTGGTGTACAATAAGTCGAAGCCTGTCGCTGTTACCGGAATGGCTTTCCCAATGGGAGATGTCAATAACTTTGTGGTTGGCAGTGAAGAGGGCACAGTCTACACAGCTTGTCGTCATGGAAGGTGAGTTTCTGTTGTCTTACCTTGTCAATGTAGGTTCTCGCAGCCTAGACTATATCCATCTTGCATGGTGAGAAACGTATTTCTGAGGAAATTACAGAACCCAACTTTTCTGTGTCTCGTTAGCTCTTCTCCATTGTTCAAAAGCAGGCAGAGAGCTCCTTCTAGAATAAAACCTTTCCTGGTTCTCTTAGTCAAAGAAAATGACTCCCTCCTTTAAATGCCGTGGAATGATCTTTACTCGTTCATTCTTGAAATACTTGCAAAGAACCAACAGGCGCCATAACAAGGAAACCATGAGGAATAACTAAGTGTTGAGTTCTTATTCTAGTTGGGGGGCAAATGACTTACAAATAAATAGATAGAAGATGCTAAGTGTTATGGAGAATATTGAAATAGAGTTCTCAGAATGGCACTATCAAGTGTTTGACATCAACTATCAACTGTTCACTAGTTTGTATATTTTTTGACATGCTCCTACAATAATTTGGATCACATCCGGTTCACCATTCATCTTCCAGGTTTCTTACCAAACTCTTTCCATACGTAATAAGTGGCAAGCTAAATGTCTATGTGGAGGCTCAAGAAGCAGGGTCCAAATACTACAGATAAGGTTCTTAGGACCCTTTACTCAACACTCAATGGAGCTGGGACAGTATGAGAGACACAAACTACCCTCCGGTTCCCAAGTGATGAGAACTCTGTCTTGACTGAGGAACCAACAAAAGTGCAATCCACTAATTTGGACTAGATTGTATAGTTAGATGCAGGACTGAACAGGCAGCCTCCCTGTATTTAGAAGGTTCGCTGTGCTCCCACTGGGGATGAATTCCTTCTACACCTCAGTACTTTGCTCAGTTGATGGATCATTGCTTGCACTCATCCCTGCCTATTTAGACTTAATGGGGAGCCACATTCTGCAGTGTTTCTGTGCATTGTAGAAGTGACAAGCCTTTGTGCCTCACTTGCCTGATTGTTTCCATATACACAATACAAGCTGTGAGGTCCCTGCTGCTGTGTACATGGCAACAAGCAGCATTTGCCCTGCTCACATGCTCATGACCAGGAGGTGACGTAGGAAGACAGGCCTTGCAGCTCTATGCCTGGCCTTGCTACTCCAGAAAGTCTGGCTAAAACCACCCACTCATGTACTCACTAATGTCTTAACATATAAATTGATGTCATAAAGGTTTTCATTCATACAAACATTTGTGCCACCTCTAGTTGTCACAGAACTCACTGTCAGATGATACAAGGCAGATAGTTATTTCAGTCTGGCTCATGTATTCAAAAAACTAATGACAAGGGGACAGTTAGATGCACAAATATCTAACACAGGTAGAGCATTGTTAGTAGCACAAAGGCACAGAGAATGCAGTAGCCCAAACATGGAGTCACACAACTTTACACACAGATTAGAATCAATAGGATAAAGCTTGTGGATATTGTGTTGTCACAGGGTAAGCTACCAATTACAGTGCTAGTTTGAGGCTTGGTTGTACTTTCTGTGATACAGCCTCTTACTGATTCTTCTGGGAAAACAACCGAAGATGGCATAAATACTCAAGCCCCCTGCCACCCTGTGGGTGGAGTGCTTGGATTCAGCCTCATGCAGTCCTGACTGTTACAGTAATGTAGGGAGTGTACCAGGGAATGTGTAATTCCCCCGACCATTCCACCCACTACTATTATGCTGATTTTCAAAAAAAGAAATATTTTTTAAAATGTTTTCCTTTGAAAGGCAGTTTTTCAGAGAGAAAAGGAGAGCCATAGAGGTCTTTCATCTGCCAGTCACTCCCCCAAAAGACTGCAAAGGGCTAGAGCTGATCCAATCCAAAGCTGGAGCCAGGTGCTTTTTTCAGGTCCTTCTGCATGGGTGGAGGGGCACAAGGACATAGACCATCCTCTACTGCTTTCTCAGGCCATTAGCAGAGAGCTGGATCACAAGTGAAACAACCAGGACAGGTACCTGAGCCCATATGGGATGTTGGTATTAGCAGGCAGAAGATTAACTTTATATGCCACTGCATTTACCCCAAAAAGAAATTTTTAAAAATTCAAAAGTTCTTTTTAAAAAATGAACATTAGGGGTCTGGAATGATGGCTAAGTGTCTAAATCCTCAACTTGCACACAGCAGAATCCCATAACTACACTGGTTTGTGTCCTGGCTGCTTTGCTTCCCTTCCAGCTCCATGCTTGTGGCCTTGGAAAGCACTGGAGGATGGCCTAAAGCCCTGGGATCCTGCACCCATGTGGGAGACCTGGAAGAAGTTCCTGGCTACTGACTTCAGATAAGCTCAACTCTGGCCATTGCAGCCACTTGAGGAATGAACCAGCAGATGAGAGATTTTTCTCTCTGCCTTTCCTTCTCTCTGTAAATCTGCCTTTCCAATAAAAATAAGTGGAATCTTTAAATCAACACTAGGCCATGATTCTAATTGACTTACCCCATGATATTACTTTGGTCCTCGGCTACCAGAGAAGGCTTTGAAACACACTCATAGATATTTTTTATATATTTTTTTGTTTTTACTGATGTCACTATTTTACATAATACCTATTTTTGTTCCATGGCTCTTGTCTGTTTGAAGCACAAAAGTTCAAATGAAAGTTCCCTGTGGCATACATTACAGCTCCCTTTACAATTAACATCATTTCACTTCCTATTTTGGTCTACCCATCTGAAATGTAAAACACAGATCTTGGCAAAGCCATAAAGTATCAGCCCTTGGCTCTGCTGACATTGTAAATGGATCAGATAGGGCTACAGGGAGAGGCCAATATTTCTGTCTTTCCCCTAACGTTGGGAAGGTGCAAATCCACTTCCATAAATTAAACAAGGTCCCCATTTTGCACCCTATAAACCACTTCAGGATGCTGTTAAAGAGTGAAAGGGGTCTCACAAGGGGCCACTTCAAAGATCTGCTCCTAGTGTTCATTAGAACCTATGTAAATGAGCACATGGAGGGCTGCTGTGAGCAGTTGCATTGGGCATAATTTTTGAGTGCCTGTTACATGGAATATAGGCTGTTGCACTTTGCTCACGATTCTAAATTTTACTCGGTACATTGACATTTATTGGTGCTCTACATGTTTTAATAATTTAAATAGTCTAAATGTTTTAACAACTGAATTCATTTTTAACTATGTGGCATAATACTGAATTTCTACGATTCCTGTATCTCTGCTGTATTTATAACTTCTTGCCCATGAATTTTTAAGACACAGCGTTTTGAGTATACTCTCAGATTTTCCTAATTGTGTGTGATTTTATGCAAACTGTTTTGTGATAATAGAAGTCTGGAAATAATACCAGCTTGGCTATGGATTGAATATATATAGCACCTTTTAAAATGTGATGTCATTTCTCAAATAATACTTCTGTTTCTGACATGGAGAAGCAAAGTTTGTCCTTGTCAGGCCATTTCATTCAAGAAACTTTTCTTGAGCATGTACTGGTTAGACACTTAGTAGCAAGAAAGACCCCTGCCCTTATAAATGTATCCTTGATTACTGATTTGCAAATCTCTGCTCTGTTTCCAATGGTAAGGATGCATCATTTCCTCCATGTTCTACGAGTCATCAGATTATTGTTGTATTTTGTCATAACAAAAGTTTCCAGAATGTTATCTTTTTGAGCTATGCCAGCAAAAGAAATTTCTTGAGAGAATAAACTTTGTCTCCCCCGAGCATATGTGTAATTTCATATTAAATAGGGTCCCCAAAAGCAATTAAAATGAAACATGGTGAAAATGCCAACTCAAAAATCAAATAAGCTTCTTGGATAACAATCTTCCAGGTTTAGATGTATCCATGACCATAAAGATAGTTGCATGAACAATGATAAGATTTGAGGCACTTGTGGAAAATGATTAGATGGTAAAAGTTGATATTAAATTCTGAAGGTTCAAAAGATGATGTTGCCCTCTGATATTTTTTTAATCACTAAAATTACGGTCATGCTTGCAAACAAGTTGTCTCAAGATTACTGTGAAGGTAGAGTTGTGCTGGGTGGCTGCGATTCTCAATGATGGAAAAGTAATGATGCAGAGAAAGACTTCTGTTCCAAGACAACCAGGTCTACCTGAAGGTTACTGAATTTCTCCCCTGTGTTCTTCATGCAGCAAGGCAGGCATTGGTGAGGTCTTTGAAGGTCACCAAGGACCAGTGACGGGAATTAACTGCCACATGGCAGTGGGCCCCATCGATTTCTCTCACCTGTTTGTCACTTCATCATTTGACTGGACTGTCAAACTGTGGACCACAAAGGTAAGAGCGCCTTTGAGTGTGAAGTGCCAAAGTGAAATACCAGGGAAGGGGGTGGAGTTCTAGCAGTCGGCTATTCCTGAAGCCTTGTTCTACATGACTTGATGCTAGGAGTTCCTACAATCCACTGCCCCAAAGCTGCCCAAGTCTGCCTCAAAGCTGGCCAAGACTTTCTCAGCCAATTGTTGTTATTTATATGCAAAAGACTAATGTGTGGGAACATTGACTGTTTGATTCTTTTTTTTTTTAATAAAGTTGAAAGTGAAGTCGCCCTTCACCACTAGAACCCACCCACAACATCCCCTTCCCTACCCCCATCTCAGGACTTCCCACAGGACAAGTTGCTCCTCTTCTTACTTCCTTCTAGAATTGTATAGCTCTTTCTCATTGGCCTTGGGTACTAATAGAGACATAAGATATGAGGCTGGAATTCTTTGGATTTTGTGTTCTGTGGGTGTGTGTGTGTGTGTGTGTGTGTGTGTGTGTGTGTATGTATGTTTTTCTTTTTTGAGTGGGGGAAGGGGCAGGTTTCGTTTGGTTTGTTTTGGCACCTTTGGAGTTTTCACATCTGGTGGGAGCCCCTGGATTATGTGTGTTTTTCAAAGGTAATTCTTGCAGTATTTGAGAGCGAGAAGCAAAGCAGCTCTGCAGGGAAGGTGCTGTGGTCTGGGGGAGAAATGACAGTGACACAGGCCAGTAGCTTGAGGTGGAGTGAAGTTGGTGGATTTGGAACCATTTGGAGAGAAAAATCCCAAAAACTGATGATTGATTGGATGAAAGGAAGAAAAAAAGGTGAAAACAGGAGTAGGCACAGAGAACCCAGGATGGTGGCCTGGACTGCAGAGCTTTCTGCTAACGTCACAGCCCCAGGGAGCACCAGGGTATGCTGGGAAAGAACTATGCTGGTGCTGCTTGAGGCAGCCAGGGGATGCCTTTCACAGTCTCCCCAGCTTGTTCTGGGGGATAGAAGAGAGGACCCTGGGCTGCAGCTATGTGCTTAGCAATAGCCAGACTAGCCATAATATTCCTAAAGGAGTGGGCTTTAAATACTACAACTGAATTTGGAGGAAAAGGAATATGTAGGAAATAAACTAAGGAAATGAAGCTAGTGAAAAAGATTTGAAAGTAACACCACAAGTAAAATTAAACTCTAAATTTTGTGCACGGCTTTAAGGGGTATTAGTGGAGGTAACCGAGGCAAGAGATCAGAAGCCTTTCGCTCTGAAAAGATGCACATCCCCATAGGAGACAGGCAAACAAAAACCAAGTCAGGAAGCTGATCTTCCACTATCAGATTGACAAAAACAAAAAAATGTTCCTAGCACACGCTGCGAGGAACAGAAAGAAACCAGCCATGTGCCTGTGTTGCCATGGAGATGCCAAATAACAGAACTCAGAAAGGAGAATTTAGCAATATCAAAAAACAATTTTTTTAACTGAGCAATTCCCACTGCTGTGAATCCATGCCAAAGCTTACAAGGGTGCTTCAGGAAGCTCATGGAACTCAACATTTTAATTTATTTATGTGAAAGAGAGTGATAGAGAGAAGTTCTCCTTCTGCTGACTTACTCCCCAGTGTCCACAGGGGTGGAAGCTTGGTCAGGCCAGAGCCAGGAGCCGAGAATTTTAGCCTCTTCTCCCATTTGGGTGGCAGGGCCTCAACCATTGGGACCATCTTAAGTTGCTTTTCTAGGCACCTCAGCCAACAGCTGGATGGGAAGTGCAGCAGCTGGGACAGAAACCAGCACCCATATAGGATCCCAGCCTCTCTCCATCAGCAGCTTAACTTTCCACAGCACAACACGGACCCTGGATTTTATTCTTTTTGCCCCAAACTAAATGTATCTTGTTCATAACATGTTTCCTAAATTTTTCAAAATATTCTTGTAGTAGCAAAAATGTAAACTATTCAGCAAAAAGTTATTTGAACAACGAAAGACGAGAAAGGACCCAAAAGTTTCCAGGTATAGGGCACCAGGTAAAACAAATGTCTGTTCTGTCTGCACTGGGACATTCTCTTCATGTGTAGGGAAAAAACAAAAACCACAACCAAAAACTTCTACATACTGTTAGGCCCTGATCTCTTTGTTGTCATTTTAAATGTGGAAAGAAGTATAAATAATAAGTTATTGTTCAGAGGCATATTTATGTGTTGCTTAATATGCATGGTTTATCTACTGCACACATAAAAATTACTTCCATGAAGGCAGGAGGCTGAAAGCAACAAATAGCCAAATTTCCTTGAATCTATCTTCTTTGTGCTTTCAAACTTGGAATCATGAAAATATCTTAAGGAATCATACCGAAATTTAAAACTGATGTGCAAGCAACTTAAAGTAACATGAAATGAACCAAGTGCAGTGTGGTTCAAATGGATGGCAGAACCTTACAGAAAAGAATGCCTGGAAATGATTTCAGTCTGTTTTGAAGGATATATTTTAAGGATTAAAAAGAAATCTCCAAAAATCTGAGATAACTCCTCGTGCTCCTGTGGCTGATGGCTGTGTAGTTCCTGTTACTGAGGTTGCTGTTTGTATCGTATTGTTTGATAAACAGCGATGCCGCTTTCATTCAGAGCTGTGATTACCTGCTCAATTGAAAGGAGATGCAGGCGCATGAATTTAAGTGTTAATCCTGAATTTCAGTCGCAGATATTGGCAAGAATTCATGATTTTATATTTAAATATAAAAGAGGTAGCAGGCATTTGACCCAGCATGAACCTGCCTCTTAAAATAGCCACCTATCATTTCAAAGTGCCTGGGTCCCAGGCTCAGCTTTGCTCTCTATCTAACTTCTGGAGAACAGCGGTCCCGGAGGTAGCAAATGATAGCTTAGGTAGTTGGGTCCCTTCCACTCCTATGAGATGCCTGGATTCAGTGAACAGCTCCTGACAGCCCAGCCATAAGAGATGTTCGTGGGATGAACCAGTGGATTGGCAAGTGCTCGCACTCACACTCTTATCTTCCCACCCCTCTCTCTCTGCATTTTAAATAAATGGGCTAAGTGAGTAATGTTAAATACATACAAGTTAATACATATTCATTGGTCCATCTGCCAAAAAGCTCTAGAAATAATGAGCAATCTCTTGACAGTGACACTCCTGGTGCCTAAGCATGTGCCCCCTAAATAAAAACACCAAAAAAGAAGCTGGTGATCCTGAAAAAAATGGACTGATTTTAGGTCTGGAGCCTAAAATGTTGTGCATAGTTTTGTACATTAGATAATTTGTAATAATAGAAAGAAAGCAAGCTACCAAACACTGACAAAGTTCTTGTCAAAGCATTTATATGCCAAGTTAAAAAAGCTTCTGCTGGGCAAAGAATACCCATTAGGGTATCGGGTTCCTCATGAATGATGAAAGCCCAAAGTCACTTCTGAATTTAGGGGCTGTGGAAGACACAAGTGCCAATTACTGAATTCAGCCACAGAAAGGCAATCCCAAATCCCTACTGTGGGGAAACTTAGAGGGCAATTGATTCCTTTTCTGCACAAACATCAAGTTTTTCAAGGACAGAAAAAATAGAAATGAAAACTATGTATCAAACTTTAAAAGAAAAAAACATGTCTTCCAACCAATTTCAAAATATGGATCTTATGTGGATCTTGTTTCAAACCATTGAAATAACTGAAAGTCGGTATTATAAGAAACTTGTCAATGATGACCTATATTTGATGACATCCCTGTATTACTATTTTAGGTGTGATAATTATGACCACTTTAAATTATTCAGTTACTTATGGATGGATACGGAAATATTTACAGAAGAAATCATATGTCAATGATTTGCTCCAAAATAAGTGGTTGGAAGGCGGGGTGGGGGCATATGGCTGCAGGGGGAATGATTGGCTGTGCATTGGGTTATTGAAGATGGATGATTGATGTGATTCTATTTATGAACATGTTTGAAATTTTCTACAATAAACTAGAAATAAGAGGGTGGACTGGATACAGTGAGAAATACATCAGGGGAGTAGTAATAATACTTAAAATATGTCCATTTTATTTACACACTTAGAAGCCACTGGTGCCCAATGTTAATATTGTTTCTTTCAAATCTATAGAGGATCAGACAGGAACTCCAGTGGGATAAAGAGTAAATAGAAAGTGAGAAAGTATTGGAAAAAATGATTTTTTTTCCATTCCTTTTATTGTTTAAGTTATTCTCCTGAAAAAGCAGGTTAGAAAAATTTCACAATGTAGAGAAAGGGATCTGTAAATGTTGTGTGAAGAGCAGGGTGGCTGGAGGAACAAATCTTATGTGTGTGTGTGAGCACTGTCTGTTGTAATAGGAAAACAGGAGGGGTTGGTGGTCAAGTAGGTGTAGGTTTAGTGAATGGAAGTCAACTCTGATGGCTTTATTCTTAGAAGATTAAATCTGCTGTTGAGTGAGGGGAGTCGGGGCCTGAAGGAGCAGACTGCACCCAGTACATGGGGAAACAGGAAGAGTTAGATCAAAAACCTGAAGAGGATTCATGGGTGTCAGTCTTCAGGGCTCATCTCCTCCCAGATAGCTTGACAGTAGCAGTGTGGACATGGATGAGAAGTACAATCAGATGGCTAGGGGGTGAAGCCCCTCAGCCCAGTGTGATGGAAAGGGTAGAACATGAAATTTGGAGCTATGAATAAGAATGTGTTTGATGTTCCAGATGAAGGATGGCAAGGGAGAAGAAAGGAAATGGAAACAGACAAGAGAACGTAAAGGGAGCAAGCCATTGGACGCTCCTATAAGATCAAAGAAGAAGAATGAAGGAAGGAATTGAATAAGAGCTAATAAAAAAAGAGATTGTTGGAAAGTGGGATTTAGTATTTCACACTTGGAGCAGTTCCAAGTCATAAAAAAAAAAAAGTAGTAGTTGTTGTTGTTGTGGCCACATGAGAAGCTGAAAACCTAGTGAAGATGAGGAGGGCATAGAATCCAAAGGTCCAAGGTCAACATGCTTTGGGCTTTGCAGTGAGCAGGACAGTCACCAGGCAAGGTTGGGTAAGGAGCCAGGGATCAGA